TTCATTCATTGTTGCACTTTCTCCCTGCTCCCCCCTACCCCCCCCCAGTTCGCTCTTCTCTTTGAAAAATAAAAGGAAAATTCCTTCATTTTTATTCAATCTCTCCCCCCAAGTCCACTCCACTATGCAGCCTTCGTTCTGGACTCCTGTCATCACTATAATACCTAATCATATACTCCTTTTAAATAGTTTTCTCCCTCGTCTTTTTCAATGCAGTATACATTATTTATCCCCTCTTTCTCAGTCTCCCCCCAACCCTGATGTCAGTCCTGTTTTACAACAGTGGCGCTATGCAGTATTTGTCCTTTTGTGACTGAGGTATTTCACTCAGCATAATGTCCTCCAGGGTCACCCATTTGTGTAATATTTCATGAGTTCCTTGTTTTTCAATGCAGCATAGCATTGAAGCTGTAATCTTTAGAGGAGGAAATCTTTCTCCTGTGGACTGGCTGAACCTCTGACCTTTTACTTATCAACACAACATGTAACACGCTACACCATCAGAGCTCCTGTCTAGGCAAATGCCTCTAGAACTTATTCACTATTTCTAGGTATTCATCCAAATGTTCCAGGAAGCACTACGTAAGCCACAGCATAAAAATAAAGACATGAACTACAGGAGAATGGCCTGATTTTCTCAGCAGTTCAACTAATCATTACACAGGCTGCATGTGGTTAAAAATTGGTTTCCCTCCTCTCTCCACCCTACTTATTCCAGCACCAAGAACATTTACTGCCCATTCCAAGGCCATTAACAATTTGGTGCCTAATCTGAAATCTTGTCTGATTTAAATTTGGTGGTGAGCCTTTATGGCAATTCCCCTTCAGCTGGACGGCTGACAGCGAGCCGGACATGGGCGCAATCACACAGGGAGGGATGTGTTTGTCCTAAAAACACAAACCTTCCTACTCAGAAGAGATTTTGTTGTTGTTGTTGTTGTTTCTTGCCAGGAAAGTTGGGAGTACACTACAGAACTTTTACTTTATGGATTGAAAAGGCAAAACTATGGACACACAAGGGAGAAAATAGGAGCATTCTGGAATTGTGCTATGTGTAATTTTTTTCAAAGTACTACGGGGTTGGGGAGTGAATGTTGAAACAAGAAATTCTTCCCAAGAACTCCTGAGAATGAAAGTATCACCATACTATCCATCCATCCATCCACCCACCCGTCTTCCTTCCTCCCTCCCTCCCTTCCTTCCTTTTCTCCCTCCCTCCCTTCCTTCTTTCCTCCCTTCCTCCTCCCCCTCCCCCTCTCCCTCTCTCTTTCTAAAATAGTAATTCATGAAAGGTGTGCTTTGGGAAAGTAGAGATGACTTAGAACTCACAGGTGGGATGCTAAGCACCATTTTTCTGAATCTCTCAGTTTAAGTCTCTCATAGAAGGCAAACTTCCAGTATAAATATATTTCTATATGCTTTATTTTGCTTGGCTCCACAATCAGCACTCTTGGTACCAGCAGCCAGGAAATAAAAAAGACGAACTGCATTGGGAAAGTCTGAAGTCTGGGACCTCTCCAGAGTACTGAAGAGCAATGATGTCAGTCTGGAGACTAAGGTATGCCTGATCCAGGCCATAGTCTTTGCAATTACTTGCTATGTTTCAGAAAGCTGGGCAATGACTAGGGATGGCAGAAAGAGAATTGATGCCTTTAAGCTGTGGTGTTGGAGAAGAGTGTTGACTATATCACGGACTTCCAGGAGAACAAACAGGTTTTTCCTAGAGAGGGTGAAACCAGGCTGTTCCTTGGAGACAAGGACTCTGAAGCTCCGTCTGACATACTCTGGACATACTGCAAGGAGGAACCAGTCCTTGGAGAGGGACATCAATGCTTGGAAGGATGGAGGGGACAGTGCAAGAGAGGAAGACCCTCGATGAGATGGATTGATTCAGTGACTGGGGTTATGAGGGTAAGTGTGTCAGAGGCAATAAGACTGGCACAGGATAGAGCAGGTTTCAGGTTGGCTGTTCATAAGGTCACTATAAGTTGTACTTGACTTGATGGTACCTAACAACAACAACAACAACAACAACAATTTGAGTAAAGAGTTGCATTGCCAAGCCAAAGGCTTAGGTTTGAAACCACTAGCTGCTTCTTGGGAGAAAGATGTGAGATTTCCTTTTGTGTGACGATAAACTGAAAATCCACCGGAGGGTCAACCATGAGTCAGTACTGATAGCATGGCACACAACAACAGTAATTTATTAGCACAGTAAATTTGACATATATCATATAACAACCACAACAAGAACCACAATATTGTTGTTCTGTTAGGTACCGCTGAGTAGAGTTTAACTCCTAGCAACCCTGTGAACAACAGACCTGAACCCTGTCCTCCTCTGTGCCACGCTCATCATCTCTGATCCACTTGAGCCCGCTGCTGCATTTTCTATGTCAATCCCTCTCTTTGGGGGTCTTCCCATTCTCTTTTGTTAAGCTTCCCCTGGTCCAAGCATGATGTTCCTTTCCAAGGAACAGCCAGCCTCTCCTGGCAACATGCCTAAAGTATAAGAGACGAAGTCTCACCATCTTTGTCTCCAAGGATAAGACATAGCTGTTGGATACCTGTATCAATATATACTGGGATCAGATACTGCAGAGATAAGAAAATGGATCAGGACAGGTCAGGGTTTAGATGCACTATTCAGAGAGTCACTATAAATTGTAGTCAATAGCACTTAACAACAACGTGTGTGTGTGTGTGTGTGTGTATCTCTTATCTATACAGAAATTTCCTTTGTAGGCAATTTGTTAATTATTTATATTACTTCTTAGGTGGTGATACTGCGGTCTACCAGAATATTCCAAATATTGCCTGTAGGGCAGAGAATTCATTCAACAAAACTTTGTGACCAGAGCAAAGCAGCAAATAACCTGTTTTTAAACTTCCCCAGAAAAGGCTGGGATTCTTAGTTAAACGGCCTAAATGCAGGGAGGGAGAGGCAGAATTCCAAATTTCTGACATATCAGAAAAGCTGAGCCTCAGTAGTGAGGGTCTCTGGCATCACCCCATCATACTCCATTCAGCTTCAATTATGAAAATGACCCCTTGGACGATTTCTGGATGTGAAGAGAGGAGAGAGGGTCTCTACAGAGTATGGAATGCCTGGTCCTTCACCATTTCAAGGCCTCCTCTCTATTCAGAGGATTCATATTCATTCTGTCCCACTTACGTTCTGGTCTCAGCAGACAAGAAACAAGCAGGACTGACATATTTCCGAGGTCCCTAAGGCTTTCCTTCCTCTCTGAGCCCTTCCCAGTTGGGGTCTCCTAAGAGTGGGCTCGGGCTGACCTCCAGCTTGACCTGCGACAATTCCAGAATGTTAGCACCTTTGCTGACTCTTGTTATTAGTTGCTGTCAGGCATAGTTAGGTTCAAAGCTGTCCGTGTGCCCCAAAGCAGAACCGTCCCGTATGGTTTGCTTATGTGGCATCCACTTCCTAAACAACGTGCCTCCGGAAACTCTATGAACTTTGACAAATGTCGATAGTTGTAGAGGGGCTTCAGGCCTTTTGTTCATGGGGTCGCTGTGAGTCGTGCTCGACTTGAAGGCAATCAACAACAACAATCATAACAGAAGCAGACAGCGAGACCACTTCCTCTGTAGCTGGGTTTGAAACGCCAACCTTTAGGTCAACAGTCAAGAGTAGATCATTTGCGTCACACAGGGACCTTCTCATCCAGATATTTAGATATGGGGACATCTTCACTGCCATCAGAGCGCTAAAGAACAATCCCAAAAAAGTAATTAATCTATGCTAATTCGAATGTGCTCTCTGGAGGCAAGGATGACTGAAGCTTCATCTTTCATACTTTGGACACGTAGCTACACGAGGCTAATCCTTGGAAAGGGACATCAGAGGGTCAGTGCAGGACAGGAAGAGTTCCAATGAGATGCACTGACACTGTGACTTCAGCAATGGGTTCTAGTGTCTTTGAGATGGAGAGGAAGGTACGGTAGGGCAGGTTTCAGGTTGGCTGTTCATCGGGTCACTATAAGATGTACTTGACTTGATGGTACCTAACAACAACAACAACAACAACTTGAGTAAGGAGTTGCATTGCCAAGCCAAAGGCTGGTGGTTTGAAACCACAACTGCTTCTTGGGAGAAAGATGGGAGATTTTCTCCTGTGCGATCTATAAATTGAAAGTCCACTGGAGGGTCAACCATGAGTCAGTACTGATAGCATAGCACACAACAACAGTAATTTATTACTACAGTAAATTTGTCAAAGCAACATTCTGCATAGATACTTCCAAGAGAAGGTCGAGTATCCCTTGTTAGAGGGCAAATTCCAGGGAGGGGATAAGGAGAGTATCATTGTTTGGTTCCTTGGTAAATGCCATTTATATGCTGTTCTTTTCCCTTCTATACACCCAGGATCTGAGTGTGGGTGTCAAATAAAAGATACACACCAGCTCCCCCAGAATAAGAACTAAAGACAGTCAAGTTCCACGGCTGTACTTGGCCTTGGCCTCTCCCACAGTCCCGCATCCAAGTCTGGTGGTCTGTCAAACCCTCCAGCATCTGAGACACATGCCAACTTCACCTCGGGAGAACAAGGCACGTGGGGAGAATGAGAGGCAAGTTTCTGAGACTTGGCTCTTTGGACGTGACCTCTGCAAGTTATTCAAGCAATTTATTTTGAAACACCCAGTGTTTGTCCATGGAGCAACGTGACTAGGAGGCTAGACGAAGCTTCAGGGAAAGGGCTGAGAAAGATAAAAATAGCCCTGGCTTCAGAGTGGAAATTCAAGCCCGTCAAGGGCACGTCCAGATTCTTTTTTGTTTGGCTGGCCACGGCAGGGCGCTTTCACATCACGAGTGCATGCTTAGAACAATGTTATCACAACAGCTAACTGCAGTCCCCAGGGCAGCCTGGAAGCCAAGGCTGGCATGGTCAAACGGCCGTGATGGCTCGGAGAACGTCAGAGACTGTCACCCGAGTCACCTGGTTCCCTCACCCCAAGGGGGTCTGTGGAGGTGGCTGACTCACCATCATCTCTTCTGGATTCCCATTGGCGATTTCCACCACCCTGAGGGCAGGATCCACCTTGACCTTGGCTCTTGTCATGAACTGGATGACAGATGAACTGTCCTGTGGACGAGACAACACAATTAGCTGCAGGAATTTTTCCAACACTGGCAATGGCTGGGTCCACAACTATCAGTCAGAAAATGCCAAGAGTTCCCCCGTAGACCAGCCCAAAGAGCAGACACAGTTCAGTGCTTTGCTAGATCTCTCTCCACCTTTTGTTGCGTACTAATGAGTTGGAACTGACCCCTCACTGACCCACCAGCAGGTTTGCAGAGACAGTAAAGCACATGGGAGGAGACTGTCCATCCTTCTCCCGCAGAGCAGCTGGTGGATTTGAACTGGATACCTCTGGGTTGCCAGCACAATTCCTTACCACTAATCAACCTTAGGCTTGAATATAACACATAAGAGCAGCTGACTGCGATTCATGTTCAGAAGCATTCTGCTCCCTAGGTGTTTCAAATGACTGGTTTGTGCTTCTGGCATCTGTGCTGCTTGTGTAGATAACCAGAAAACGGGTCCAAGGCAGGGCTGGAGACAGAACCAGGCCTTTCTTCTAAGCTACCTCTGGGTAGACTCAACCCTTCCACCTTTCGGTTACCAAGCGTGTGTGGGAACTGCTTGCAGCACGGAGTGGGGGTGGGAGAGTCTACAAAAAGTGTAGATTTCCCAGTATGCCTCTTAAGAATTCTTTCCTAGCCACAAAAAAACTATAGAGTTTTGCCAGTCAGCACCAGCCCAGGCAAACATGTGTGTTGAGGTTTCCAAGTGGTGGGAGCCAGATATTTGGATATTGATAGTGACATATTTATAAAGAGTTGAGAATAAATAAAGCTGTTAATTGTGGACCGCAAAGCCAGCCCTGGCATCCCACAGAAGGCATCTGATTTACATTTTTTCAAGCATCTTTTTGGCCTGACCACAACCCTCAAACTCTCCACATGAGTTGTGTGGCCTTTCTGTTTTTTTTTTGTTTGGGGTTTGTTGTTTTGTTTTTTTTTTAAATCTCTCTCTCTGCTCTTAAAATGAAGTTGTTCTGGCGTCAAAGTCAGTTAACATGGAAAGAGAGTGTCGGATAGTGAGATGAGAAGAAATAAGTATGTGATTAAGAACTGGCCTAAATGTGGATGTGGAAAGAGATAGAGAGAGAGGTTCTCAGGTGGCACAAGGAGCCATCGTATGTGGCAGATGTTGGAAGGGGTGGTGGAGAAACTGAAAACCATCATAGGTGGCACAGTTCTGCTCTGACACACACACAGTCACCACCACGAGTAAGAGCTGACTTGGCAGTTACCAGATGGTGAGAGAGAGAGAAAAAGAAAGAAAGAAAGAGAGAGAGAGAGAGAGAGAGAGAGACACAGACAGACAGACAGACAGACAGACAGACTAGTCGTGGGTACGTCTGAGACTCAGGAAGAATTGACTAGCCAGAGGCTGTCAGAAGCCCTGGCTTGTGCTCAGGTTCAAAGCTGCTGGTCCAGAAACCCAGAATATGGGTCCAAGGCAGGGCTGGAGAAGGAACTTGGAAAGGGAGAGGGGTTGGCAGGGCTATGGCCCAGGACACACCAGGACCTGGAGCCAGTGGTGTGGAGGGCACTGCGTTGACAGTGAGCACAGGGCCATGAGGTGCTGTGGTGGAAAGATAGGGTGGGCACGGGCACTCGGGGTTCCGCCCACAGTGGCCTGGGCTCTGCCAGTAAAGTGCCTTCTGCCGCTTCACCCACATCCACTCCATCTGTCTGTCACAGTCGAGGGCTGTGCTCTGATAACTGACCCATTTCTGGCTAAAGCTACCACATAACAGGAAACTGAAGGGCCCTCCCCATGGAGGATGGTCCCAAGGGGCTTCTTTGCTCATCTCAACCAAAGAAGCCACAGAACCTGCCTGCGTGACACGTGGGGATTCTTCTGTGGACTTTACCTGTGAGTGATGTCCAATGTGGGGTTCTTTCTACGTTTCTAAAAACTCATAAAAGGGCTTTTAAATAATTCAGGCAGCTTGCCAGTCAAGGGAATGGCCTCAGTTAACTTACATTAAGTAGTAAATGATTTTAATGGATTCACTTACTAGTTTTTCAGTTTTGAGACGGTGTGATTTTATATGGGAGAATATCCTGTAGATTTGATCTTGTGTTTGAATCATTATCATCTCACTGGCGGCTCGTAATGTCCTTAATGAGGATAATAATGGTAATAATTGCCCACATTAAAGGCTGAGCCAGACACAGGACAGGCTTCGGTAGTTACAGATCCACTGAAGAAAGCATCACAGTCTGGAGAAAAACACTTGAAAATAATCCGAATCCTCTGATGATTTTAAAAATCAGATGCTATATACTTCAAATGAAAATTTAAGGTCAAAACAATGAAACCACAAATTCCCTTGTCTGAGGCCAGACCCTGGGGTCAAAAGGAAAGTAAACAGAACCGCGGGCCAGGCCAGCCCACAGGGTTGGCTCAGGGTCCCATCCTCCCAGAGGCTGGCTCCACAGTCGTCCTGGCCTCGCCGCCCGAGGGGGGCCCTGGCTGGCTCCGGGGACACCCACACTCTGCATTCCAAGTCCAGGAGCTGTTCTGGCCTCCCTGGCTTTCAAGTGAGCTTTGTAAGAGAATCTCCTTCACCCTGAAATTCCTGGTCTCTGCTGAAGGCGACTTGCAGGACAGTCCCTCCACCACCCACGGCTTGTCTCGCCTGTAGAGCGTTACTGAACTGGCTGGTCCGTGGGGAGAGAATTCAGGAGGGAACAGGGCTTGGCAAAGAGTCAACACGGGTGATGATAGACAGACAGACTGACAGACCGGCAGACAGCTATGCTATGCAGAGGAATCAGGACAAGGAGCGGTGCACAAAGTTCTGAGCCTCGTGACCAAGTGCACTCCACGGCCATGGAGGCTGAGGGCAAAGGTGAAACCAGAGAGGCTTTCTACAATTAAAGGCTTTGTTGACAGCAGCAAGGATGACATGGGGAAAAACTGTCACAGGCGTCGTCTAAGGAGCCCTGGAGGCCTAGTGGTATGGTGTGTTGGCAACCCAAAGGCGTGTGGTTCGAATCCATCAGCCACTCTGCAGGAGAAATGGGTAATTTCCTCCTGTGTGATTTACTGCCTCTGAAAACACACTGGACAGTCAGCCAGGAGTTAGTTCCAACTTCACAGCATAAATACAACAACAACAACAACAACAACAGGGCCATCTGTCACATTTGGAGGTGTGTGGACAATGAGTTGTTCCAATCTGACCAGGGACACTCCAGGAAGGTCCATCCTATGCTATAGGGGCTTCTGGACTATATCCCCCCAGAATCACAGAACGGATGGTCACTGGGAGTCAAATTCAATCCTGGTGCTCTTCCAGAAATGTCCCCTTTAAATGGAGAGATACGGCATGGGAGAACTGTGAAGGGAATCAATTTCTCCCAAATCAGTTTTCTTCCAAAGAAAATAAGGTGAACCAGAAATGGACACAGGTCCCCGAGGGAGCGCCGCCTCGGGACTCACCTTCTTCAGTATTTCTGTGTTCAGCAGCATGTAAATGTCTATAGTGCGGCCTTCTTCCTTAGCGAGAGCGCTGAGGTTACAATGCAGTGTCAGGCAAGACATTGCTGCTTTTTCACAGTCCTGAGGAGAAAAAAAATAAAATAAAGAATCAGAGAACGTGTTAAGAGCAGAGACGAGGTGCTCTGGTGGCCTAGTGGCAAGAAACTGCACTGTAATCCCAAAGGTTCTCGGTTCAAATCCACCAGATGCTCTGCTGGAGAAGGAGGGGCAATCTCCTCCTGTACCAGTTGGATCCGATTCAACAGTACACACTCACACACAACAATAACAATAACAACAACAACAACAACAAACCAACCAAAAAACCCCAACAACAACAACAATAAAAAACCCAATCCCCCCAAAATCACAGCACAATAATAGTAAGAGCAGAGACGAAGCCACAGCAGGATATTTTGCAGTGGACGGACGTCCATTCTCCTCCTGACCTTCTCACTCACTGCTGTCAAGCTCTCACCAGCTCATTGCTCACCCTTCCCTGGGCTTCTGAGACGGCAAATCACATAGGAGGAGATGGCTCATGTCTCTTCCTCATGGAGCTGCTGGTGGATTTGAACCACCAACCACATGGCCTTTGGGTTAGCAGCAGCTCTCCCTACAACCAGGCCACCAGAGCTCCCTGGTCACTGTGAAACCCAAACAACAACACTAGCGAGACCCCAAGACAAAGAAAATCCTCCACAAACAAACAAACAAACAAACAAGCAAACAAACAAGCAAACAAACAAGCAAACAATCTTAAATCCACTGATGTAAAGTCAATTCTGACTCCTAGCGACCCTAGAGGACAGAGGAGAACTGACCCACAGGGTTTCCAAAGCTGTAAATCCCTCTAGGGGTTGGCTGCCTCCTTTTCTCTCAGCAGAAAAAAAAAAAAGAGACTAGCATGTGTCATCACTCCTTCTTATCACCAGAGGGCACTCTAGGGAAGCTGCCTGTCAGTTCACCCTCCCCAAATATTTGGATTTCACATGAGGAAAGTTTTCTATTTTCAAAATGACACCCATTTATATTTTCCAAAAGCATTATCCTTACGCATTTTGGACACAAAATATATTTTCTACATTATAATGGAATCCCTGCCTATGTAGTGGCATGTTCACTTTCATTGCTATTTTTTAGGTAGGGTATTTAGAAACTGGGGATGATGAAAGGAGAATGGATGCCTTTGAGCTGTGTTGTTGGAGAAGAGTACTGAGTAATATACCATGGACTGCTAGGAAAACAAACAGGTCTGTCCTGGAGAGGGTGAAACCAGGCTGCTCCTTGGAGGTAAGAATTCTGAATCTTTGTCTGACATACTTTGGAAATGTTGCAAGGAGGGACCAGTCCTTGGAGAGGGACATCATGCTTTGGAGAGTAGAGGACAGTGCAGGAGAGGAAGACCCTCGATGAGATGGATTGACTCAGTGACTGGGGTAATGGGTGTGGGTGTGTGGGAGGCAGTAAGTTTGGCATAGGATAGGGCAGGGTTTAGGGCTGTTGTACACAGGGTCGCTACGAGTTGCGGGTGACTCGACGGCACATAACAACAACAACAACATTAGGAAGTTAAGTAGCTAAGGGAACAAAGCCAAAGACTAGGAGAAAAGGGACTTAGAAAAAATTATTAAGGTCTTATCTTTAATGTTGTTGTTGTTATGTGCCCTCGAGTCATTTGCGACTCATAGCGACCCTATGCACAACAGCCCTAAACCGTGCTCTATCCTGTGCCAATCTCATTGCCCCCAACACACCCATCCCGATTACCCCAGTCACTGAATCAATCCACCTCATAGAGGGTCTTCCCCTCCTGCGCTGTCCCCCTACTCTACCCAGCATGATGTCCCTCTCCAAAGACCTGTCTCTCCTTACAACATGTCCAAAGTATGTCAGACGAAGCCCCAGAATCCTTGCCTCCAAGGAGCAGCCTGGTTTAATCCTCTCTATGATGAATCTGTTTGTTTTCCTGGCAGTCCATGGTACATTCAGTACCCTTCTCCAGCACCACAGCTCAAAGGCGTCAATTCTCCTTCTATCCTCCCTAGTCACTGTCCAACTCTCTGATGCATAACAAGCGATTGCAAAAACCATGGCCTGTATCAGGCACACCTTAGTGTCCAGAGAGACACTGTTGCTCTTGAGTACTTTAGAGAGGTCCCTAACCGCAGACTTTCCCATCGCAATACGTTTTTTGATTTCCTGGCTACTGGTGCCGAGAGTTATCTTTAATAGTTTCATTTATTCTTAATTTGAGGTATATCCTCCACGCAGTAAAAGCAGAACATATCTTAAGTGTACATTTTAATAATTTTTATATGTCTTCATACTTGGGAAGCCGTGACTCAGATGGAGATGCAGAATGGAGCCTCCCTGAGCTCCCTCATGCCCCCTCTTATTTCATATCCAGCTCCCCAAAGTCAGCACGATGCTCTTCTGCCAGAGGCTCCTCTCTCCTATTTCTGATCTTCTGGTTCAAATCCATCACATGCTCCTTGGGAGAACGATGGGTAAGCTCCTCCTGTGCGATTCACTGCCTTTAAATGAAATTAGGATGTGCTTTCTTGGTCTTTGGTTTATTTTACTCACGATTATATCTGAGTGTTTCATACATGTTGCATGTAGCGAGAACTTGTTCTTTTTCATTGCTGTGTAATATTTCAGCGCATGGGATAATACTGTAGTTCTTTTACTCATTCTCTGTTTTAATGAGCATATCAGTTGTTTCTAGTTTTAAGCTATCCTGAATAATACCATTGTCAATATTCTCATTTTCCTTAAAAAGACAGAAGTACTCATTTCAACCTGGGGAAATACTCCAGAGGTGAATGTCTAGGTCATGGGGTTCACATATTTCATTTCAGTAGACACTGAAGCAGCTTTCCAAAGTGGCTGCACTCAACACACCACTCTTGATTAGACTCAAACTTGTTGGAGTAACTTTTACTTTGTGTTTGATGTGTTAGAAGCTTTTCTTTTCCAGGCACTGAAGTTTGGAATGTGACTGTAACACTGATCAAAACCTCAGGCTGAAAACTAGGAGCTGACTACAGTCTTCGTGACTTTATAAATCAAATGATTAAAACCACACTCAGGAAGTAACAAAAGCCAAATCTAAAGCTGACCCCTCAACTTGGGCTCGCCTGCCTACTGAGGACCACCCATGTCACCACAACCACTAATTCTTACCAAGACTTTTCTTCCAGATTTCGTGAAAAAGGCAAATATGGTGTGGAAGATATTTTCTTGCTCTTGAGGGATGATGCACGGGGTTGGATTTCTCTGGAAGGAGCAGTTCCCTTTCTCCTGGCCCACCTGGAAATAAAGAGAGCTTTGTCAGAGGTCAGTCCCAACAATGGTCCCCTGGTGTAGAAATGGTAACCATCTCAAACTTACTTTAGTGAGGTTGATTTTGACTCACAGTGACCCTATGTGTCTGTCCCATGGTACTCCCATGACTGTAATCTTTAACACAGGCAGACATGGATTCAGTCACAGCTTTCTCCTGCAGAGTGACTAATGGGTTAGAATCACGGATCTTTCACTAAGCAGTTGAGGGTGTCTAACCACTGTACCACCCGGCTCCGCAAGCCCAGCAATAAGCTGCCTCACTGCCCACCTAAAGGCACAGGGTTCGAGTCCCCCAGCTGTTCTGTGAGAGAAAGATGGCCAATCTCCTCCCCTGCGATTTACTACTTCTGAAAACCCAGCGGCGAGTCAGCTCTGAGCGCATTCCAACCCAACAGCACAACAGTAGCAACCACCAGATGGCTCCTTGAGAGGGTAGAGGTAGATTCTCTTAAATTTACTGCCCTTGACTATTCTTGAGTGGACAATGATAACTGAGAAGCTGGAAGGCAGGAGCTGTAGCATCAACAGTCAAATAAAATAAAATATGGAGATATGTAATGTACCCTGGACTGCCAAGAAAACAGATTCATCCTAGAGAGGGTTAAACCAGGCTGCTCCTTGGAGGCAAGGATTCTGGGGCTTCGTCTGACATACTTTGGACATGTTGTAAGGAGGGAGAGGTCCTTGGAGAGGGACATCATGCTTGGGAGGGTGAAGGGACAGCGCAGGAGGGGAAGACCCTCTATGAGGTGGATTGATTCAGTGACTGTGGTTATGGGGATGGGAGTGTCAGAGACAGTACGATTGGCACAGGATAGAGCAGGGTTTAGGGCTGTTGTACATAGGGTCGCTATGAGTCGCAAGTGACTCAATGGCACATAACAACAACATATACATAATGGAGAGAAGACGCAAGTGAGATGTGAAGAGGAGATGGTGAGAGTGAAGATCAAAATCACTCACACTTGACAGAGATGTGAAGAGGAGATGGTGAGAGTGAAGGTCAATGTCACTCACACTTGACATTGGCTGCAGCATGTTTACATCCTGGCAGCAGCGCTCAAAGGCAGGTATGGCTGTTCCTTGTTCAGGTGAGGAGCTGAGACTCACATTAAGCTACCTGTGTAAGTGAGAGAGCTACCTGCCCAGAGATAAAGCTACGAAGACAGGAGAGACAGAAGACCGAGTGGGAAGAAGAGCAACCGGGAGGTGGTGGGCAGTGCTGTTACAATGGGGGGCGGACTGTAATCCCCAGGATCTAACAGAACAGGCGGGAGTGGTTGATGCATTGGACACGCTGCTGTCTGCTCTGTAACATTTCAGTCCAGTCACAATGTTGTCGTGTGCTGTCAAGTTGGGACCAACCCACCATTGACCCTCCAGCAGGTTTTCAGAGGCAGTTAATCACATGGGAGACACCCATCTTTCTCTGACACAGCAACTGGTGGATTTGAACTGCATGCCTTCGACACTGCAGCGCTTCTTACCACTAAGTCACAGGTAGCTTCCTTGTTGTTGTTGATTGCCGTTGAGTCGAGCACGATTCACAGTGACTCTATGAACAAAAGTCTGAGGTCTTTCTATAACTATCGTTTCTCCAAGTTCATAGACTTTGCAGAGGCATGTGGTTTAGGAAGTGGATGCCACTCCTGCTTCCAAACCGTTCTTAAAACTGGGAGTCCCACCAAACACTGTCCACCATGGGCAGTCATGGCATTTGAGACCCCAGTGGGTACAAGGTTCGGCGGCACAGCAAACCCAGGTTACCTCAGCACAGCAAATCGACCGAAGAGTGTTGTATGACTTAGACGAATGTTCCTCCTTGGATTTTTTAAAAAAATAAATCAATGAGGGAGTCATGTCTTGCATCTAGGTTTTCTGAGACCACCTTATAAATGGTCCAACCCTGGAAGTTTCCAAACTGTGTCCCATGGAACTCGAGGGCTTCTAACAACAAGCTGTGCTTTCCAGAAGGGTACAATGTGACGAATTCTGAGACATAAATCACTCACCCCAATGGGGTAACTACCACCTCAATCAAAGGGGAAGCATGTCTATCATGCCAGAAAGTTCTTCCTACCCTTGTCCAGTAACTCCCAAACCCCACCTCAAAGGAAAAGAGGAAAAAACCCAAAACACTTGTTAAACTTGTTAGGGAAGTGGAAGGTGCATTATTTGGGTGCTGCCCAAATCTGGGCATCTGTGAGGCTTCACAAGGAGCCCTGATGGTTCAATAATTGAAGTGCTGCTAACTGAAGGTCAGTGGTTCGAAACCAGTAGTCGCTCTGTGAGAGACTCTGTGGGAGTCTCTGTAGCCTCAGAAGCCCAATGGGGCAGTTTTATTCTGTCCTCTGGGGTCACCATGAGTTGAAATCAACCCGATGGCACGCAACGCCTGCCACATCATGGATGGTAAACATCGACATTCACCAGGCATTTGAGAGTTTGAGTGCGTGCGCTACGTTCCCGTCGTTTTGCACTCTGTGAGGCTTGGCTTTGCGACTCTCTTGTCTGTCTTCTGGAAAGGACATCTGCGGGAGTGAAGGGGGAAAGAGTTTTGTGCAGCTCTGTGGTGTGTGAATTCCTTTGTTATGATTACCAGCCCTGGCCACCCAAACGTGCTTGTTCTGGGTTAAGAGAAAGAGAACGTGTGGGTTCTGCAGGATGCATTTGTCTCTAATTAAAATCAGGGGTGGGGCAGAGCCGGCTGCCTGCTGGACGAATTGGTACTTCTGCTTGGGTCACCAGGAGCGGGGAGGTGGGGACGGCAGAGGCAGCTCCCCTAACGCACTGCAGGTGGGAGGAGCCTGACACCGTCCTCCGGGCCACCGAGGGCCAGCACAGAGGGCAGGTGGCCACTGAGGGCCAGCACAGAGGGCAGGGAGCTGTGAGCAATCAGGGTGAATAACTGAGGCTTCCGTCTCCCCAGGGGGGCAGAGGCATGGACCACAATGTCAATTCCCAAACCTCCTCTGAACAGTGTCTGGGTTAGACTCTTAACAGGGTAATGACAACTGGGGACAGTCAGTGATGCAACGTGACACTTGATCCATCCTTCGTGGCATCTGGTGAATGGGAAAATGTGGCCTCTCACCATCGTGCTGACATGGGAATCGCTTCAACAGGGAAAATGAATGATGCTTTTCTGGGAAACTCAGGGTAGTGTCCTTTCAAAGAGAAAGTGGACGGTTCTACCCGTGCCGATTCAGACCAGCTAATCTTGTAAAAGAGGGAAACTCTGGCACCATAGTCCGGAGGGAGGTGCCCTGCTAACTCCACAGGTGACATCTCTCCAGGAGTTCGAATCCACCTGTGGCTGCTTCAGAGAAAGGTGGGTAATCTCCTTCTGACGGTTGAGCTGCCAACAAAACAAAACAAAACAAAACAAAACACAAACCCAAACAAAAAACAGCCCGGAGGGTCAGCCACGAAGCAGTCCTGACTGGATGGCAATCCGTGAGTGACTGACTCTTGCCATGAAGAGGCTGGGTGGTGCTGTGTTGTGATCGCTGCCACGCGGCTGAACTGAAGGTCAGTAATTTGAACCCAGCAGCTGCTCTGAGGGAGAAAGATGGGCATCCCCCTCCTGTGAAAGATTTATGGCCTCAGGAACCCAACGGAGGGTCCATAAGTCAAAATGAACCTGGCAGCAATGAGTTTTAGAGGTTAATCCTGTTGTGGACGTATCCTGGGCTAAAATTCACCAGCAACTCATTCCCAGGCCAAGGCTATTGAAAGGAAGACCCCTGTATTCGTGTTGGATAGATACACATCCAAGAGCCAAAATAATCACGCCTACGAGCAGTTACAAAAAGGTGCCCTGGTAGCATAGTGTGTTAGGTGTTGGGCTCCCAAGCGAGAGGTTGGCAGTTCCAATCCACCAGCGGCTCCTCAGGAGAAAGATGACACAGTCTAGTCTCATCTCTTAAAGATTTACAACCTCTTTTCTCAAAAAGTTGCAAATAGAAATACCATTTGACCCAACAACTCCACTACTGGAGTTTATCCTAAAGAGACCATAACTGCCATCCAAGCAGATATATGCACACCCATGTTTATCGCTGCTTTGTTCACAATAGCAAAGAGCTGGAAACAACCTAAGTGCCCATCAACAAACGAATGGATAGAGAAGCTCTGGTATATTCACACAATGGAATACTACACTGCATTGAAAAACAAGGAACTCATGAAATATTATTCAAAATGGGTGACCCTGGAGGACGTTATGCTGAGTGAAATATCTCAGTCACAAAAGGACAAATACTGCATAGGGCCACTGTTGTAAAACAGGACTGACCTCGGGTTTGAGGGAAGGTAGAGAAGGAGGGGAGGAATGATGTCTACTGCATTGAAATAGATGAGGGAGAGAACTGTTTAAAAGGGATGTATGAATGGGTATTCTTGTCATTACAGAAGTTCAGAGTGAAGGCTGCACAGTGGAGTGGACTTGGGGGGAGGGACTGCAGAACAATGAAACAGTTTTTCTTTCTTTTCAATGAGAAGAGTCAATTGGCAGGAGAGGGTGGGTAGGGAGAAAAGTGCAATAATGAATGACTGGAAACCCTCTGTAAACTTTCATTAAAATTAATTTTAAAAACTATTTACAACCTTGGAAATGAGCTAGAGGGAGCCATGGAGCAGAAATGACTCACCAACAAGCTGTCTGTTCTTAAACACCTGTGTGTGACATACAAGGTGCCAAGGGGGTGCTGGGGGCGAACTCTGTGGAGAGCTGAGCTGCACAGCGACCCCAGAGGCTGAGTCTCTCTGACAGTTCAAACCCAGCCAGTGGCTCCAAGGGAGAAAGACGGACAGTCATCTCCCAGACAATTTACAGCCGTGGAAACCCGGCAGAGGGTCGGATACGAGTCAGGTCCGACCTGAGGGCCATGAGTTCTGAGAGTAAAACTGCCAAGTGGAGACCTAGATTGTACACATGTTTAAGTGCTTGGCTCCTAACCAAA